CTGCAATATTTGTGTGCACAGGGATGTGTTGTACTGCTTGTACATGTAGAACAATTTTTCAATGTTTTGTGTATGTGTGTGTATATCTGTGATGTTTCCCTCTTTAGACTAGTGCTTTACAAATATTTCCAAAACAAAAATATTATAATAATGTAATGAAAAATAATTAAAATCCCATCTTGTAGTAGTTGTACTTTTAATATCCATTAACCAAGAAAATACATATAAATAGTGATGGAGGGCTGACTGTACTCCTTTTTCATATGAGAATACTGAGGTACAGAGAGGTTTGTAACTTGCCCAATACAACACAGTTAGTAAGTGATGGAGCTGGAATTCAAATCCAGGTTGATTGAAAACTCTTTCCTTACCTCTACACCATACTAAGTTACTATAAATTAAGTAGTATAAAGAATATTTCGTTCATTACTAAGTATTTACATATATTTATAAAGTAGTACATGGATGTAAAAAATGATTTATTTGGTCCATTTCCCGACAATATTTAATGTGCATGTGTGTTAGTGTGTCCTTATGTTTCAATTTGTACTGGCTGAACCTGAATGGGACTTACCACAGGGTCGAATATGCTTTCAACCCTGTATTAAATATTTAATACACTTTAGTACAAATTATCATTTGGCTGGCAATCTGCATGTCTAGACGGGATAAGTTTCCTAGTCTCAGTAAAATTGTGAAATGTGTGAATTTTTCCTTACCGCTCTCTTAGGTTTGCTAACTTTCTTGTTCAGCTCTTCCTCCAGGGTATTCATTACCTTTCTTTAATCAAACTCTTAAAATTATAACCTTACCTATAGTTACTTCTAAATGAAAGTAAATATTATTACTTCCTACCATGGAGATTTTTACATTTTAACAGGAAAAATTAAATGAATATAACTTTTAGATAAGTTATCAATCAACATGAGGAAACACTTTTCTTTGAACCAAGTATCTTCCCATCTTCTTTCCATGGCTTCCTTATTCCCTCCTTCTTTTCCTTTTCTCTCTGCCTTCTGTCCTCCAACCTCTTGTTCCTTTCTTTTACAGACAAGTAGAATTTCCCCTTCTCCTTGACATTCAACCATCTAGACCATTATCCACCTTGACATCAGGGAAGGTCAAATTTACCCAAGACTAACTTAGACCATAATCTTACCTGTTCTGTAATGAAGTCTCTAAGACACTAAAGTAAGTAAGGTACCTTCCTACTCCATTTGTTCAGGTAGCTAATCAAAATATGGCCCCCAACTATGGTAGGCAGACATCTTTCAGATTTTGACATTATGTCAAGTGATAAGTGCTAAGGCTACAGGCAGGTGAGATTCTATCTGGAGAAGGTGATGTTTAAGACATTTTGATTGTCTTTTGTATCTAGAAAGGTACCTTGTAGGCTCTGGGAAGACATAAATGATAGTAATAGGACTGATCTGTCACAGGTATTGTTGAGGAAAAGTGTCAGGCTTCAAGATGATTAATGATGATGTTTAAAGATGTCTTCTGCTAAGAGTAAAAATAAAATAAAGTGTGAATGCTAGGTAGTAATTGAGACTACACTAACATTTTAAACTACTAGATAAATGTATCTCATGTTAAGCCACTGGAAAAATGTTCACCAAGCAAATTCTAACATTCAGTTGGATACTTTAGAAAGAAGAAGGACCTAATTGATCTTGACAAAATGTCATCTTGCAGTTGTAAGAATTTGAGAATTCTAAATATTTCATGTAGATGAGTAAATTATCCCTGCTGGCAGAGTTATACTATTTTAGAAATGATAACCTTAAATAGGAAAAAACCCAGTATATTTCCAAGTTAACATTTAATTGTAACAAATAATTTTTCCAATGTAAATGAAGAAGCAAGTGAATACAAGTCTTGAGAAGCTAATTTTCAGCATGAAAAAACATGAATTCTAATAACCTTTCTACCTGTTTCACATATTTGCCACTTGCTTTAAAATAAGTGATATTTACACATAACTAGAAGTTGTAAAATTACTTTGAAAAAAAATAGTATGTGATGATTAATTTCACATATCAACTGTGCTACTGTGTCCAGATACTTGGTCAAACATTACTCTGCATGCTTTTGTGAGGGTATTTTTTTTTATAGGAGATTAGCACTTAAACTGGTGGATGCTAAGGAAAGCAGATTTCTCTCCATAATGTGGGTGGGCCTTATCCATTAGTTGAAGGCCTTAGGGAACAAGCATCGACCTCCCCTGAACAAGAAGGGATTCTGCCAACAGATAGTCTTCAGAGTTGAACTGCAACATTGTTCTTCCTGGATCTTCAGCCTGCCGGCCCACCCTGAAGACTCTGGACTTGCCTGCCTCAATACTCGTGTGATCCACTTCCTTTAAACAAATCTCTCTGTTTCTCTCTCTATATATATACATACATACATACATCTTATTAGTTCTTTTTCTCTGGAGAATCCTAATATGAAGTGATATTTCCATATTCCTCTTGCTTAAGTATTTTTCTTATTGAAATATTTTTCTTAATTTCAAAGTGACTATTGATATAATATTATGGTTTATTGTTTTAGCTTACTGTGTTATTTTTGTGCCATGTTGCCCTTTTCCTTATTTAAATAACATAATGACTGTTAATTCTATAACAATTTAGTTTTATGGCCTGTTGAGGCTCTAGAGTTTTAGTAATAGTTAAGACATGCCTTTTCCTCTATGTTTATTTTTATATAGGTGTATGTTTTCATCTACTTTTGTTTTTGCAAGTAGGAAAAAGCCCAATCTGATTATTGTATAGAATACACAGTCAACTGTTATGCTATAAGTTTTGTTAATAGAAAACATATAAAAGTGTAATAGATAAGGTTGCTTGCAAAGTTGTTCATATTCTCATGTGAAAATAAAAATATGTGATGACTTTCTAAGATGCTCCAATACCTTCCCAGTGTGAACCCCTTGGTCTTTGATATTCCCTTACTTTGTAGCTCACTCTTTTATATGAAGCTCCGAAGTCCCCAATAAGACCTCAAAATGGTGAGACTTACTGTTCCCTTTTGACTTAATGGAGATTCACAACAGGGTCACAGCTGCTTTTGAATGGGGAAAAATTGGAAAAAAATGCTAAAATGTATATGGAACCACAAAACACTCTGAATAGCCACAGCAATCTTGAGAGAGGACAAAGATTCTCTTCAGAAAGACTACTTTCTGATTTTAAGATATATTATAAACCTATAGTAATTAAAACAGTATAGGCTGGCATAAAAATAGATACATACACCAATGGAACAGAATACAGAGCCCAGAAATAAATTAATTCATATCCTGTCAACTGATTTTTGATAAGGGTGCCATGAATTAACAGTGGGGAAAGGTTAGTCTGTTTACCAATGGGATTGAGGAAACTGGATCTCCACATGCAAAAGAATGAAATTGTGTTATACCATATACTCAAAATCAACTCAAAATGGATGAAAGAATTAAACATAAGATTCCAAACTATAAAACTCCTAGAGGAAAACTTAGGAAAAAAGCTTCATGATATTGGTCATGGCAATAATTTCTTGGGTATGTCTATAAGAACACAAGCAAAAAAAGTAAAGATAGACAAGTGGAACTACATCATGCTAAAAACCTTCTGCATAGCAAAGGAAACAACAGAGTGAAAAGGCAATCTATGGAATCAATGGGAGAAAATACTTGCAAACCATATATCTGATAAGAAAAAAATATAAGAAAATCCTACAGCTCAAGAGCAAAAACAAAACAAAAACAAAACAACAACAAAAAAAAAACAAAAAAATTCCTGATTAAAAAAATAGACAAAGGACTTGAACAAACATTTATCCAAAGAAGACATGCAAATGACCAACAGGTATGTGAAAAGATGTGTGATATCATTAATTATCAGGGAAATGCCCATTAAAATTACAATGAGGTATCACCTGACATATATGTTAAGATGGCTAACATAAAAAAATAAAAGGTAACAGATGTTGACAAGGATGTGGAGAAATTAGAACTCTTGTACAATGCTGCTGGGGATACTAAATGGTGCAGTAGCAATGGAAAATAGAATGGAGGTTCCTCTAAGAATTATAAAACTACCATATGATCAATACCACTTCTGGGTATACATCCAAAATAATTGAAATCAGTATCTTGAATATATATCTGCACTCCCCTGTTCATTTCAGCACTAATCACGATATCCAAGATATACAAATAGCCTAAATGTTTATTGACCAATGCATAGATAAAGAAAATGTGATATATACGTACAATGAAATATTATTTGGCCTTAAAAAGAAAGGAAATCTTTCTTTATTTGGCAACATAGATTAATTTGGAGGACAGTATGCTAAACCAGGTACAGAAAGACAAATCCTGCATAACTATGCTTATTTGAGGTATTTAAAATAGTCAAACTCATAGAAATAGAGGGTAGAATGGCAGTTACCAGGTGCTGGGAAAGGGGAAATGGGGAGTTGCTACTGAGTGGGTATAAAGTTTCAATTATGCAAGATGAATATGTTATAGAAATCTATTGTAGAACATTATGCCTATAGTTAACAATACTATATTGTGTATTTAAAAAGTTCTTAAGAGGTTAGATCTCATATTAAGTGTTCTTGCCATAATTAAAAAAAATAGAGGTCTTGGAAGGGAGTGGGAAGGGGGAAGGATAGAGCATCTTCAAATGTAGGAAGAAGGCTTAGGGTTCAAAGCAGAAGAGAGTAGATCTGTAGCTGTGGGTTCTGGAGTCACAGGGGACCTGAGAACCAGCTATGGTGGTGCTCTAGAATGGTGGCAGCACTGTAAACAGTTAGCTGTGTGGTTCTCCGGGAGATGAAACTGTAGGCATTGGTTTCCCCAACTCAACAGGTTCCTGTATTCTCTGCGTATGGTAAAGAAAAACTGAGAGCTCCCTAATGTAAGGAGCTGTTGAAAGCTTTGAAAATGAGAGTGTCAGGGAAGACCATGAAATAATGGTGGTTAAAGATCTTTTTCCATTTTTTTCCAGCACTGAACAAGCCTACAGGATTTTGGTGTCGTTCTAAAGGAGTGCAGAGCAATAATAATTGTGTGAGTTCGAATTTTCAGCTATCCTGGTTGCACGGGGGCTAGGATTCAAGTTTAATTTAGTTGAATGAGATGACAGAAGCTGATATTTTTGAAACATCTGAGCTTGTGGTCTAAGTTTCAATACCGAGTCAAAGAAAAAGAAATTTAATCTTTTATTAATAATATAATAAAAATACTCTCATCAAGCACCTGCTATGCATTTGACACATTTTATGAGATGCAGTTGATTAAGATCAAGAAGTTATGGGCTTATATAGTGCCATATAGTGAATAAGTGACAAGGTTGAGATTTTTAACTCACACCTGAGTACACTTACTGGAACTAGGGCTGAGTATGTAGCCAGGGAAGCTTCCACCAGGGAGAATCATTGAATTGTTATGATCACCAATAACAGAATATCGAATGTTAAATTAGGCAATTTTTTCTTTCTGGAGAGTTTTATTTCTTTATTTTGTATTTAGATAAGTGCACTGTTGAATTTTTAAAATATATTTTATGGTGGAAGGTAAGTAAAGGAAGACACTGAGGAAATAAAATTACTTCTCATCAGGATACCTGCTGAGTTTGGGTTTAGGCCACAAAACCTTTGGGAAAAACAAATTATAGAAAGCAATAATCTATGATTCCATTGCTGGCTGAATGATATGGCTCAGGTAAGTGGTTTATAATTAAATCTACTAAATTATGGCTGTGTTTATTCAGTTATGGCCTATATTAACAAAGAATTTCATGGACTCTGGTTAAATACAGTATTATGAATGTACATAGCAAAAAAGTGTTTTTAAAATAGCTCCAGTAGAGCTAATGAAAGCAGAGTTTGTTTGAGGGCAATATTCCCACGAGCTTTCTGGATGCCATCTTTGGCAATTTACCACTTTGTAAAAAATGAGTGTTTTTCTAGAAAGAAACAATAATTGGAGTGTGTATTTCATCTTACAATATGGCAATTCTTCAGTTACTTTTATGGATGAGACAGTTAGTTGTCAAGCCAAAAAAAAAATGACTGTAGATTTCTTACAAGTCTTCATACACTCAATTCTACTCTGAAGTGCCAGATTTTTGTAGTATACTTTGTCATAAATTTCTGGTATTGAACATATGTTCAATCTTACAAGTGTCAGAGGGGAAGGATAGTTTAAAAAAGAGTAGAAGTTTGAATCTTTTTAAACTTTTAGTTTTTCTTTTACTGCGACTTTCTCAGAATGTTTATGGAGAAATAGATTTCTATTCAGATTCAAGCTAGAATTTGACCACTTGTATACTAGGCATTATCCTTGGTAATTTAATTAAATATATAGCTACACATCTTTAAATTTAGAATATTAGCATTCCAAGGAAACGGAGAGAATTTTTTCCACATCCTTGTTTTACAAATGGGACTCAGGACCATAGCATTCAAACGGGTTGAGTATCCCTTATATTCAAAATGATTTGGATCAGAAAGTGTTTCAGATTTTAGAATACTTGCATATATATATATAATGAAATATCTTAGGGATATTTCACCTAGGTCTGAACATAAAATTCCTTTCTTCTTTATATACACCTCATACACATAGCAAGAAGCTAATTTTATACAATATTTTAAATAATTTGTGCATAAAACAAAATTTGTGTACATTGAACCATCAGAAAGCAAAGGCGTCACTATCTGGGTACCCATGTGGACAATCTATGGTTGTCTGGAATCACCATCATTCCTAACTCTGAATGTACATGCCTCCAATAAGTAATCATTTTCTTACACTTATTCACACGTAAGTACCTAATAGTAAAAAATGTGACATACCATTGACACATTGAAAATATAACATGTTCAAGATAACTGAGCAGATCAATAACATCACCAGAATACCTGTATCATCTGTTAAACAACAGCAACATCAAATAATGGCAGGCTTTCAGTCTCCACTTACGATGCTATGTTTTGATTAAAAGGTTACTGTGTACCGTATTTTATATTTTTAGGTGAGAAGAAACATCAGAAGCAGTTGAAGGACCAGGAAGTTGGGCCTCTAGGAATGAAGAAGCATTTAAAAATATGGCTTTTAAAAATATTTCCTCCAGAGTCATCTGCCTCATTAACAATGGTTTTTGTCTTAGGAGTCTCTCTTTGATTTTATAAACTGATGTGATTTTTTGTTCTATTATGAATGAATCTAGTCCTTCAATAAGCTCATTACACATCTTCATCATGTTGTCTATAAGCACTTATTCTACAGCATTAACAATGCCATCTTCATTGTCACTATCATTGTATCACCTTTTCAGAACCATTTGAGCAATTTCATGACTGGTCAATGAATGAACGACTGGAGCCTCATTATCGCTATTAAAAACTTTGCTAGTCACTTCCCCCAGCTTACTGATGGACTCTGAAGACTTATTTTTCACATATGGAAGGAGGTCAGATGTTATTTTTTTCTCACTTGCCATGTGGAATCCTGAAAGTCACCACCTTGTTCATCATTATCCCTGAACATAGTTGTGGGTCATAGGTTGTGCCAGGCATGCACAATTGTGTCTGTAGTCACTGTCTTCAAGTGTTGGCAACAGCATACATGGTATCCTTCATGCCAAACTCCTTTTGAAAACCTTTCACACTCACACTTATGGTCGCTGTTGCTAACATGCTGTTCATGAAAGTGTTTTTATATTTACAGTGATCTAAGGAAAGCTTGGTACATGGCTGAATTAATGAAGTCAGTTTTTTGGGAAAGTATGTGGCATAAACATTATTTTTTGATGAGAATTTTAGCTGGAAGATGAGTAGAACAGTTGTCAAGGAATAACAAAATCTTGCAGTCATCATCCAGTCTTGCTTCACTGAGCAATAATGCCAAAACAATGATGTTTCATTAGCCTTGTAGACTTGTTTTAGCACCAGATTGTTATCAGTGATGACCCTGGCAAACTTGTCAATGAATTTCTCTGCTGTTTCATGATCAGTAGATGCTTTATCACCACAAATCTTTAAAAATTTAATGCTGTGTCTTATCTTACATCTTTGCAACCAGCCTGTTGACTGTTACAGTTTGTTTCCATTTTATTCATTGTGATAGATCTTTGCATGTTTCACGATTAGCATACCACACTAAGTGGCATGTATTCACTGTGGATACATTCTTTCGATACACAATCAAGATTTTCATTTTTAGCTTTATGTAGTGTTTTTCTATTTTTTATTTACTACTATTCATCACTTTCAGTATACAACTTCAATAGTTTATCCTTTTGTTCCTTCAGGTCATGTGGTGGTTATTCCAATACCATATTCTTCTGTAAGATATTTCACATTTACATTTCTTTCCAGTCTCTCTAACAATTTGACTTTCTGTAGATAAACATAAATGCTTTGTCACTCTTTTAAAATTATTATTACCCATAGAGGTATTTGTAGGTTTTATTTTAGTTTTTGTTTCTTCCAACAATATCTTTATGCCACAGAGCAGAGAATAAGCAAAAACAAAACAAAACAAAAAACATGGTGAGTAATGCACATAAGTCTTGGCCCCAGGTGGGGCATCATGGAGAACCTGACATTGACACATCTGGCCTGCTTATATGCCATTTTATTACCCTTTTTGGGCATACATATGTGGAAAAGATAGATCCTAGCTAAAGGGGGCTGAGAGGGGCTTTATTCCCCCAGTGGGACACTGTGTCTGATCTATCACACGAGGTCAGGTGCCGTGGCCCGTTTACAGGATGGGGGATGAACACAGAACACAAAAGAAAAACACAGACACACATACAAAGACGGTTACATGACTTGAGTGATGAATGCACTGAGTCAGTTTATTTTATACTCTAAAAAATTAAAGTTAGTTCCTTATATGTGACCATCCAGGCATTACATCAATGGCCATAAATTCTGGAACATGTAGCCTTAAGGACACAGATGTCCCCTGACTCAGGGTTTCCAGGTGGTTGCTCTAGATGCCAGGCATAGATCACAGACCGAGATTAGCAAGGATGGGCAAGGCAGCCACAGGGGGCATTTTTCGTCCCCAGTTTCTCTTAGGCTGATCCCCTGTGGCTGTGCCTGTCTTAGGTTGCCCCTCCCTTGAGGGATCTTACCCGTCATTGACTAACCAGCCATCTCATGGGGCTAAGCAGCAGTCACAGAAACAATGTGTTTATTATGTGGCCTCCAGACCCCCACTGCCGTGGGGTGGGGTAGCTCTTGCCTTAGTGCAGACTCAGGTCCTTTGTTATGCCTCTAGGCAACAACCTTGTTTGTCACAAAGATCCTGTCTGGAACACATTACGCTCAAACGCTCTGGGCAGAGGATGTACATTATTCACTAAATTTAATTCTTAAACCAGGAAAGTATAATATCAGTCCCCAACAGTCAGGTGTGGAATTTTCCTCTTGTGGTATCATGTTGGTGTTCAAAAAGCTTCAGGTATCTGGGCCTGGGGTGCTCAACCTGTACCTGTAGTCCAGGATAGCTAGTTGTGTGGCACAACCTAAATGCCTGATCCTCATTATAATCAATCTTCTGTTGTATCACACTTTCTGTAAAGAGATCTTTATAGTTGTTCTGAAACTATCAAAGAGAACCTAGATGAAAAGGGAATATATTCTACTTTCAGGTCTCATTCCTTTCCTTAATCAGGAACAAATAGTTTTACATTTTTCAAGGAAATAATTAAAAATGTGATAAGCTAAGAAATTGGTATTCAAAACATTATTTAATTTTGCAAACTTAATTGATTGAAACAAATAGGCCAAGTAAAGTTGGCTTTAACAAAAATGAAGTCCTGATTCTGTGACTAAATTTCTTAGTGAAATTAAGCTTCATGAGACAGTATACAATGAACTGATCATACATTTGTTGTCATGTCTTCATCTATTCACAAGTATCTGTACAAGTATCTGGAAAAAAGTGAAGGCAGATATTGAATATAATAGAAAGACAAAATTCTAAGCAGCTTTTGATTATAATAAATAATCCATGTTGGTACCTAGCCAGTTTTTTTTAAATAGAAGTAGGCACATGGATATTTTATTAAAATGATTTAAACTAATATAGGAGGAGAAACAGTCTGACAGAAAGCAAATGACATAAATAAAAAATTTAATGTAAACCGCTCTTTGTGCAGTTCTAGTAACTCAGCAATAAAAGGCAAATACTTGGTATTTCTAAAAGTTATGTTGATTTTTAGCCCCATACAAATGCTAACCTAGGTTTGGCGAATTAATTGTGCTATTCTGGCACCCACTCAGGTAGTGAGATAAACATGCTGATACCTGATATAAACACGGCTAGATCATGCTAACTTGGCCACCTGTGTGTCTATCTTGATGGATACCACATTTGCCATTTAGTTAATACTGAGCACTTTTGTTGATCTCATATAATCCATGTTTCTGCACATCTAGCCTATCTCAATAAATCACTTATGGAAAAAAATGGATTGCTTTACTCAGAAATCAAAAAAAAACTTTACACATTTTTGTTTGATTAAGTATCAGATATCCATTTAAGCAATGTATCAGATTCTTACAGAAATATATATTTCTTAAGAAATATATACTATTGCTATACTTAAAAAATTGGACTAAAAACATGAGGCAAAGGTATTTTTAATATTAATCAGAATCATGACTCTTAACACTATTAAAACAATTTTTTGTTCTATCCTTAATACCCTTTTATAATATATCAGCTTCTGTGTTAGATCTAAGTGAAAATTTTCATGAGAAATGGATTTGAGGATGTAATATATTCAGATTTGCATAGATTAATACTTTTGTAAGAGACTAATGGTTTTACATACCCAAAATTCCACTTTCCTCAGGATAAAATTATATATTTATGTGAAAGTCTTATTGTTCAGAGTATGTATTGGCATTGAATATGTGGGATAAATGCCAACCAGATGGTTTGTGGCAATCTAGCAGAAAGAAAGCTGAAATGCATTTTTTTTTTTTTTGATATATATGTTGAGCAGCCATGCAAAAGGCATTTGTTTTCTTTGCAGTTTGAAAAGTGAGGACAAATATATCTAAGGTATAGCTCACACATTGCAAGTGAACACCCTGGGCTGTCAAATTCATTATCTAAGCAGTGCCAAAAAAATCTTACAGTTACGTTTATATGTTTGCTTATGTTGTGTTTTAGCTATAGATTACCTTCACAGTAAAAGATAGAAAACACAAAAAATCAAAACTCAGTTATACCAAATCTTTTTCATTTAAAAATATTTGACAAAATGGATAATTGGTTTACAGAAGAAAACATTCTTCATGACTTCATTTGAAGCATTTTTTTGCATAGTTATATATTTTTTTGCATAGTTATATTTTTACTTCATATGTTGTTAACTATCACATAATGGTTACTAAGAAAGTAAATGGGGTAACAGAAAATGTGCTACTTCAGGAAATAGTACACAAATCATTTTGTTTATAATTCATTATGTTAGGACATACATTGACTTTCAAATTTTGTGAAGGGATTAGAGCAAAAAGTTTCTGTAGATGCCTAGATTTATGAGGTTCAACCAGGCATATGCTCTTTAGACAGAGAATGCAATTTAGAATACTTAGAATTGTGGTTCTTATACCTTGGTATACATCCGAATAACCTGTGATGTGTACTTACAAAAATAAACAAAACAGATTCTAAAGTAGTGAGTTTGAGACGAGGCTCAGGAAACCTATGTTTTTAACAGGCATCCTCAATAATTTTGATACAGGTCATCCACATTTGAGAAGTAAGCTCAAGTAGGTGATTAGTATGTTTCTTTGCTCATGTTCCTTTAATATCAATTGTTGTAATTGTTCTTAGATATTTTGTCCGCTTGCTTGCTTTAAATAGGTACGATAACATCATAAAATGGGAAGAGAGATAATATGTAATATGTTTTCCTGATTAAAGGAGAATCTTATACTTGGATAAAAGATAAGTAGGTGTCAATGTGAAAAACTCTTATGTAAATTGATAAGACTGATGAAGTCACAGTTGTACAGAAAAACACAGATTGTGAAATGAGTGGAACCTGTTTACAAATTCAGGTTCTAATATGACTAGCTGTGTGATATTGGAAGTTATTTCATTGTGCTAAGCTTCTGTTTTCTATCACTTATTTTTGTTACGGTGACAGTAATTCTATAATAGATAACCCTGAAATTTCAGTAGCTGAACACAATAAAAATGTGATAAGGGAGGGTCTCCACACAATTATTCAGAACCTAAGTTGACAGTATCCCTGCCGTCTAACAGTGCGACCATCAGCAAGTGGCATCAGAGGTCACCCATGGCATCGACATGTCTCTGGCAATTGAAGAAAGAGAAAGAATGGAGGTTCTTACTGCTTCTCACTAATCGTGGAGGTGTAAAAATAGAAGATCAGGAGCTAATCCTCTGCATGACCTGTAGTAAGCTGGTCTTCGTGACTCATTCTGGTCTTCATTGCTTCATACATTACCCTTGATTTGACTTCTATAAGATGATCCTTTCCAATTAACTGAGTGGGAATGAAGAAAGAGAAGGGAGAGAAGTTCCAAAAAGTGAAAAAATGTGTCCAATTTGGAGCATGCAAGTTTTGACAAGGCAGAAGGATATCAAATTGGAGATAGCTTCTTGGCAGTAATGTATTAATATGTGATTTGATGCTGAAGGAGAAGCAACAGGAAGATTATATATATGTATATATACACACATTCACATACATAAATATAATCAATAATTAACATTTTACGTAATCAAGGAATTCAATGAGAACAGATATGACACAAGTGCACATAAGAGAAGATCAAATATCTTAGGGAGTAGGAACAGTTCAGCGGCAGGGAGAGGAAGAAGAGAATTGAGAGTCGTGG